TTGATTAGAGGATATCTCAAGATTTCTAAAAAATCCAAGAACACCTTCAAAGAGTCAAAATTGAGGAAGTTATACATTGGTGAAGTTGACCTTTTTTGGAAAATTGTCAAAAGTCAACTATGCCTCAAAATGCAATTTTTGCCAAATGGGCCTAACTTTTTGCACTTGTCTTGAGTTGGTAGCATGGTCCACGAGCCTTAGACCTTGCCACTTGTCATTATCTTGTTTTTATTATTTATTTTGATTTTTATTTGAATTAAATCAATTTTAATCAAAACAAATCATGGAAAAATCCAAAACATTGAAATCTCAAGATTTTGTACATGTTTCAGGCCCTATTCCAGCTAGCAAGAGATTGAATTCGTGCAAGGCCTTTATGTGCATGAAAAGATTGGTTTTTTCTATTTTGGGAAAGATATTCAAAGGAATCAAATCAAGATCAAAATCAATAATGAAGGATGATTGAGATCATGTTTTGAACCCTAATCCAATCCTTGATATATATTGAACATTTGCAGACCTAAAACAAGGCTAGAGAGAGGCGCACAAGGTCAGAACAAACTTGCAAAAAACAAAGAAAAGTGGTGATTCGAATTCATAGTTCCAGGCTATTCCAGGGCTTCATGACCATTCCAATCGCTTCCTGGGATCACAAGCAAGCGAAACCAATCAAGAACAAGGAGTTTTCAGCCCTATAACTCACTGTAAGTCAGCCACAACCTTGGGTCTTTCTTGAATTCGAATTTCATAATCTTGGCATCTATAGCATGAAATAATTGTATATTCATGTTCACCATCACATTTGCAAGCTATTTGGAACGTTTAATTGCATTTTTATGGATTGTATGAGATTTCACCATTGTTAGGGTTTGTGGCTTCGATTTGGAATCTTTGTGTACAGGTGAAATTGGGCCATGAAAGGGGCACCATCGTGCCCAGCAGGTCCAGACGAATCTATCCATGGCCTTGGTTTTTATTTATCTTGCTTATGCTTGATTTTGAGAAGTTGCAGGGATGTAGCGACGGACATATGTCAGTAGGTAAAAGTTTTCAACTTTTACCAACGGAGCAAGGTTGGGGATGACCTGTGTGGCACCCTTCTATTGGGCCATTTGAATTATGGCGCTCTTTTTCCATTAACGTGCATATATTGTATATTATTATTATTATTTATTCTATATACAAATAGAACATGTAGCTCAGCTGGCATTGGTGCAGGTGGAAAGTGCTTTGGAGCCTGGGTTCGAATCCCAGGTCCTCCAATTCCTTTATAATATTTTTCTTTCAGTGATCATATGCGCGCACAAGACCAAGGATTACCATACATCCTCATAATCCAACTTGCCAAGTGTCCTGAGATCCAGATCTGAAGGCCATCATTGAAGGAGCATCATAGGCCATGGTCAAAGCAATGCACTGGATTCAGGAAGTCAACATGGACCTCAGATTTTTGGGCCCAAAGCTTGCTATCTGCACCCCCAAAAATGTTGATTTCACAGACCCATATCTATTTTCCTTTATTCTTTTTATTTTCTTTATCTATTCATTTAAATTATTTTACTAACATAAAAATTATTTCTTTTTATCAAAAAATCATAAAAATAATATTTTCACCCAATTAGATTTAGGTTTATTTTTTTGTCAATAAATTAATTAATTTAATTAGGTTATTTAATTTTAGGTAACTTAAATTGTTTTGTAAATAAATTAAAAACAATTAGAACAATTAAGGTTTTAGTTCAATTTGATTCTATTTTCTTTTTTTCTTAAAAAATACCAAAAACACAAAAATAGGCCATTTATTTATTTTCATTAATTAATTTAATTAACTAATTAATTGTGTATTTAATTTTAAAACCTAATTCTTTTCTTAAAAATAATTAAAAAATAACAAAAACAATTTTTCTTTCGATTAGGTTAGAAGGGGTCAAAACCCTAGTTCTCTCCCGATCTTAATTTCCTCGCGTGCGCTTTATCATTTATTTTTACCCTATTAATGTAATTGCTCACAAGTTGTAATAGCTTAATTAGGATCTTTATTTTAATTTATCGCTTTGTTTTACGGGTATGTTTTTGGCTATGTAAATACCCGAAGCCTTGTAATAGCGTAGTTTAATTTCTACACTTTAAATTCTGCAAATATTAAGTGTTAGATGTATGAATAATAGGGATGCATGACAAGAATGTATGATTAACTTTAAAACGGTTATCAAACCCTAAATGTGCAAAGATAAATAAACTTGAAAGTGAATCACTCGTACATGCGCACTCCTAGGGTATACTACCACTTCGGTTGCCTTCGGTAAACGGTCCTTAAGTATAGGATGCTTTAGTGGTCGCTCTCTTGTCTAAACAAAGATCAAAGTCCCGTTCAGAAAAGTTGCCTCGGAATGGTTGCCTCGGAATTGTTGCCTCGAATAATTGATCTAAGATATTAGGGTTACTACTAAGACGTCCTAACATTGCTTTAGTGATCGTACGTCCCTTTCGAATTGACCCTTAAAACTCTGACGACGGTGCTACCTACTCACTAATAGTGGGATAGCGCTGTCTAAAGAAAATGAACATAGAACAATTCTTTTTTCGAGTAGGTAGAATCTTAAGTACTTGCTCAATCCAAACAAACTTTTTCACACATGCACTCCTTTCAAACAAAGTTTTCAAAAACACTTAATAACACTCTTGAAGACAGAAGCAAAAGTTAAATCGAAGTCAAAAAAAATTTTCAAATCAAACAAACACGAGCAATTTTTAAAATGATGAGCAAGTACCTAAGAGCCCGTGGAAAACCACGGATAGAAAGGATGCTAATACCTTCCCTTTCTATAATCTACCCCCCGTACTCAAAATCTCGAAAAATGGAATTTTTCTGTGTTTTTTTCCTTTCCTGTTGGATAAAATAAAAGTCGGTGGTGACTATTTCTTACCGCGACATTTTGCAAACACAAATGCAAAACGCAAATCAGCATTCCTAAAAACAGCCCCGGTTCTGGCCGCCGTATCACAATGGTCTTCTTTGATTCGACACGTTTTCTTCGTTCTGGTTTCCTCTACCATTCGATTTGTTGTAGCAGTCTCTATCTCTGTCGAACCATTTTCCTTTGCCTTTGGTTCCTTTTGCTGAATGTGCCTGCAAAGCCACATCACTCTTTGATTTGCTTGCAGCTCTTTCATTCATTCTTTGTTCATGAGATTCAAGCGTCCCTTGAAGCTCTTCCTTTGTTAATTTCGACAAGTCTTTTCCCTCTTCTATAGCCACCACCATGTGATCGAACTTAGGAGCCAAAGATCTCAAGATCTTCGAAACAATAGCTCTTGTTGTTAATGTTTTTATACATACCTTGATTTGATTCACTAGTTTTGTAACCCTAGTGAAGAAATCAGATATGCTCTCACTATCTTCCATCTGAAGCAATTCATACGTTCTCTTATGAGTTTGTAACCTCACTTCTTTCACCTTTTATGCACCACCAAAAGACTTCTCAAGTACATTCCAAGCTTCTTTTGCAGATTCTGAATCACTCACTTTTTCAAAAAAAAAAAATTAGACTCACACATTGATGAATTATAAAGAGTGCTTTATAACTCAGCTTCTCAATTTTTTTGTATTTATTCTTTTCTTCTTCTGAAGCGTTTTCTCCAAGCGCTTCGAATCCATATTTTACAAGATCCCAAAGACCTTGACACCTGAACAGAACTTTATCTGTTTGCATCAATTCTAATAGTTGTCTACTTTCAGAATTGGTAGAGTTGCTGGATAATTTGCATTCCCATAATTCGCCATCGTGAATTCTTTTTCTTCCTCAATCGTTCTTGATTGATACTTCTCTTTAATCGAAACCGAACTCTTGATACCAGATGTTGGAAATCCATCAAATATCTATGATGAATTTCTATCAATCTTTATGAACAAGATTGATATCACCACACAATGACAATGATTTATGAGGAAAAAAAAGAAAGAAAGAAGACAATTATTTTCTGCAGAGTTTCTCTCTGTCCACAAACTGTGGAAAACATTCTTATTCACTTTGCAACTGCAAAATACTGTGAATGACTTGAATGTCTTGATTACAAAATTAGGGATTACTCCCTCTATTTATAGATTTAGCTTGCTCCCTAAGCCCAAAATACTTATTTTGGTACTAAATCAAATCTATTCTATTTTAAACTTAAATCAAATCTATCTAAATCTAAAACAAATCTAATATGTGTGCAGCTTGCTTCGATCCACAAGCTCTTCGACTAGACAATGGCTTCCTTCGAGCACCCTACTTCGATCTACCTCTAAACCCTTCGACACGCATAATTTCGATACTATGAATTACAATTTAACACTCTTCACAAAATTATTTAAAATAGAAAAATAAACTTAAATTAATCTAATAAAACTTGCTAATAACAAAATAAAATTAAATGTTAAGGCCTTGAATCTCTCACAAATAGTGAGTTATCACAAGACTACAATATTGTAAGGTGGCTGCTGATAATAAAGTCACAAAAGATGGAGATCTTGTTCATTTTACATTACTAGCAAATGCTGACCCCTCATTCCCATTCCCAAAGGGATTGTTCTCATCTGTATGTGAATTGCTGTGGCCGACCTACCTTCTTCAAAATGAGATCGCAATGGAATATATAATAAAATAGAATAAATTTTGGATTTTATTGGTTTTAACTTGATTCTCTTTCATATAGATTATGATGTTTTTGTTTTGCTTATTGGTTATATGTATACTGCATTGTCTGTTTTATTCTTTTCTCATTTTGATTTGTCCATTATGTTGTTTGTTAGCATTAGAAAAAATTGGGTAAGTTAATTTTTTTAGGTAATTGGTGCATGATGCATTAATAATAAGAAACAAAATATTTAGATTCAACACTCTTCAATAATATAGCATAAATTAAATTGAATTACACCAAACAAAGCATAAAAAGAAAGCAATTATTCTTTTATTCTATACCAAACATCTATATAGGGTTGGTAGATTCTCATAACATTACTGGCCAGCAGCAAAAGCTTCAACAGGGAAAGTCTTGGTAATACCAGCAAGACTCTTGAAATGAATCTTTCCAGTTGGTTGTTCATCGGCCGTAATCTCGTTAACCGGAGGCCATAACATGAGTTCTTTCGCCTTCACTCCTTTAAGTTTCTTGATCTTTTTCTTTGAAATGAAACCTGTTATCTCAGTGTCATAGCTCACAAGCTTGCTTATCAGATTGAACTTATGCTCCACTTTCTTCTTCTGCAGAATCCATATGTAACCGGTTGGTTTCACGTACCCGATTTCGATTATATCGGCCAGAGGGAGTAGTCCTTTGGGTAGTTCGAATTCTTCCAGAAGTGAAACTGCTGCTTTCAGAGACTCTTCGTGTCCGTTCTTCACAATGCCTCCTTCTTTCTCTGCCATGATAATGTTGTTGTTGTTGGTGATGTGAAGAGAGGAAATGTTTTGTGTTAAGGTTGTTGAAGAGGTTTTGTTTGTGTGTGTGTATATATAGGGTATAGTTAAGGTGATAGAAATAATGAAGTACAACGTTTGTGTTTGGTTGTTTCAAAAACAACGTTTGTGCTTGGTAGAGATCGAAGTAGGTTTCTTTGTATGTGCCGTCCAATTAGGCTTTGATAACGATATGTTATGGATCTACCTCTTGGATATTGTAGATTGAGGCCATTTGTATGCGAATTTCATTTTTTTCAATTAAGTTATTGAATAACAAAACATTGTTATGCCTACTAAATAAGTGTGATGGTTTCTTGAATGTTCATTTATTTAACAATATTCATTTTTATCAAATTGTATTTTTTTCATTATATTTTTTTGTAATTTATATAAAATGACTAAATGCCATAATTTTTTTTTATAAAAAGTCAGTGCCATAAAAAAATTAATACAGATCTACTCACAGTATAAATGTCATTCAATGTGAATATATTGTTTTGTCCTATTATATACCATCTGATATTCCAAATTTTAAGAAATTTACTATTAATAAATTTCATAAAAATATAAATGAGGAGATTTAAGGATTGGTGGTTAGTATTTTTATTAATGTTTTTTTTGTTTTATTTATTTTTTATTTTTTACTTTTCTTTGTGTTTCAAACGTTTTAGAGATGCGAGGTCAAGATATAATACATAAGAATAAAATCGAGAAAGACTCCACAAAAGAGCGATGTCATAACCAAAATTAGTGAACACTATGATTGTTTGTAGTATATTCTACGACTTGTAGTATTGTTACGACCAACTCATAATATTTGCTATGATTGTACTGATCTCTGACACTCCTCTTATTATACAAAGGGGTAAAGGTCAATATGACATGTCTGTAGTATCTGCTATGGTCGCAATGCGTCCAAAACCAACATAGAATTCTATTTTTTATCAGTTTTATTTTGTCTCTCTATTGTTTTGATGTTACTGTCTCTATTATTTAGGGCCCTTAAATACGAAATTATGTCATTCTTAAAATCATAACCTTATAACCTCTGATTGTAAACACCTTACATAATCTAATTTTCTACACACACTTTAATTTACTAGTTTTTTGCAATTTGAAAAATATGTAAAGTCTCGTTGTCAGAACAAGTATTCATCTATAATCATTACTATTCAAGTTTTATTTGATCATTGTTTCTTATTATAATTCATATGTTTACGTTTTTGTTTAAAAATATGCATGAATTTATCATGTCTGAGTAGTTATCCTAAATGTATGGCCACGAGTCTAAATGACAGATCTCATGTAAGTTTTTTGTTTTGATATCTTTAATGAGAAACCTGTGCTTTCTTTGACTTTATATGATAAAAGCATCTTAGATATCGGTCATATACTAAAAGGGCATAACTGATATCTAAGGCAAAAGAATAGACGGTTAAATCGAGACTATGAAAGTGTCTTTGTCTAAATTGAGAACTATATCATTTTAAATACTCAATCTTAAAGGGTTTGAATAGATAAATTGTGCTACAAAAGTAATTAATTCAATGCTTAAGGACAAGATCATATGTAACACCCCAATTTTAGTAATTAGTTATATATTTTATTAATTAGTTATTTGCCTAGTTTTGTGAGTAAATGATTTAATTTAAATTATCTGATGTATACTCTATGTGTCAGGTTGGTCGGGATGAGATTATCAAACTATTGAGTTATCGTTAATAAATGATGTCAGGTAGTGAAGGATTAATTAATTAGTGAAAATTGTAGATAGATAGTGAAATAATAGTAATTGGGTTTAATTGTGAGAATGTGGAGAATTAGTGGGGGTGTGATAATGAACCCATTAACTTGGTAATTGAAATTAGAGTTAGTATTATTTTATTGGTGGTTTAATAAAAAATAAAATAAAAGGGTTAGTAAGGGAAGAGAAAAGAGAAGAGCACCTAAGGAGAGAATTCAAAGAATCCATCAAAAATCAAGGTAAGGATGGGCATTTGTATGTATGGGAATCGTATAATGATGTGTAATGGATAAATTTATGCTTAGGATGCAAATCTCTCAATTTCTAGGTTTTGTAATTGCTTAGTTTTGATGAGAAATCTTTGTATAAGATATTGATTTGTGTTGTGATGTTTTTGTTAGAAATTACTTGTTAGATATATGTTATAGTGTCTTAAATTACAGAAATTGAATGTTAAAAATGTCATTTAGAGGTCACAAATCGCATGGGTTTGATGCTGCCAACGCATAAACTTTTCTGGTTTTCGCAGACGCCGCTTAGCACTGTTTAGCGCGTTTAGCGCCAATGTCTCGGGAAGGGAGGGCGCTTAGCGCCTAAAGCTCGCTTAGTGCGACCTGGAAGTTTAAATTTTATATTTTCTTTAAATTTTCATGAAATTATGTGTCCTTATATTTTATAATAATTTATAATTAATCTAGAATTTTCAAAACTAAGGGTTGGATGGATTTTGAATACTTATTTGATCAAAATATGAAACCTTGTTTATATGTTTTATGTATGTTTGTGATTCTGTGTTGGACCGTAATGACGTTGTTGTACATTGCTTGTCATGTGTTATTATGATGGTCTGGAGTAGTATTGCTATGAAAGTGAATTATATGTGGATAAATCATGATTATGTGTATGTATGTATAATTGTGTGGTAATTCAATTGTGATGAATTATTGAATATATTCATGTACGCTAAGATTGAGGGATAGACTTAATTGCATATGATTGTTGAAATTGCACATGCATCATTGTTGTCAAGAGGCAATACTTGTTAGTTCTGTGGGAGCTAGTGACTTGTCCCAAACCTAAAGTGAGTTTTGAAAGCTTAGCGACGGGCTTTTTCTGTGTTATTGGTCTAGGAAACTGATCCAGTTTAAAGTAAAAACCGAATAAAATTAACAGTGATTGATACCACGTGCATGAGTATTGCATTTGAGTCTTGCATTGGGTCACATTGTTTCTATGTTACGATATGAAGTTATGTGCATTATGTGAAAATGATGTATTTGTGAAATTGTGAATTGTGAGTGTATACTTGTGAATAGTATGAATGAATGGGTGATTCTAGGTAGATAAAGCATATGAAGTGTGAGTGGATTTATCTTTATACATGTATGTTATGCATTATATATTATTATATGATTTTGATAATTATGTGAATTCTCACCCTTCTGTTGGAATGATGTTTTATAACGGCATCGCTCAGGTTAAGATTAGAGTTGCTACTAGCAAGAGAGTAGTTGGAGAAGCTACCTTTATTTTTTTTCTTTTTGTATTTTGATTTTGGGCCATGCCCTGATGTTATGTAACACTGGGAAACGATTTTGAATTCACGTTTAAGAGATACTTTGTATACTCTTTTATTTTGTTATCCTTATGAGAATTATGTGACGAATTGACTTTTAATGCATAAGCTATTCAATGGATGAATTTATTATGAGACTCAAATATTTTATTTGTTTGAATAAAAATGATTCCGTTACGAAATACATATGTGAAAGTGTATGGAAAACATAAATTATATTTAAGTATTATTGAACATGACATATATATATATATATGATTTTTAATTATGTATGACACCCTTAATTAATATGTATGTTTATATTATTTTGATTTATGATGTATTATTCCGTGAAATTTTAAAAAGTGTTACTAACAAAAGTAGGTATAATCATTTGTATTTATTCAATAGTGCAAAGCACTAATTCTCACAACATATAAAAAATGAAAACTCACATGAACGAGTCTAGAATAGAAATCATAGTCATAAGTCTTACCTTAGATAAACAACTAAAATAAGCGAATTTGATAATTATGAAAGAACCGTGTAAGCGGTTGGTTCATAGTTCAAGTAACATTTCTTTGTATTTTTTTCATATTGCAATTTAAACACATTATCGATATTTATAATTTAACGATTTAAATAAATAGAGATTTTTAAAATATAAAAATGTAATCATTATTTTTCATTTGACTAATTAAGTTATACAATTGAATAAAATAAATATAAATTTATGATAAAATTAATTATATAATATGGAAAAATGGAAGCAAGAAATAAAAGCTGGTCTAACAATTAGGAGGAATTAGCTATACGAAAATCATACAATTAGGAGATTGTAGCTATAAGAAATAAAAGCTATCCTAACAATTAGGAGGAATTAGCTATAGGGAAATCATACAATTATTTGGCAACAGTATTTTAGTGACCATAGCATGCATTTCCTAATAACCATTAACATGCATTATTATGAAAACTGCAAAAAAAAATTACATAATTGATCTTACCGGATCAGACTTGGACCATCGCAGCTGGCTCGAATTAGATTTAAGTGAGGTGAGGGTATCTGCAAGACACTCTGATGCTAAAATGAGAGACAGAATGGGCAGACAAAAAGTATATAGGCGTGTAATAGATGAATACCTGACCCTCTTGGAACAGAGGGTATTTATAGCCCCCAGCGCTAGACTAAGGTCCCCTCATTGGGCCGACCAGAACTGGCCCAATGAAGGAATTGCCAGGTTCTACGTGTGTAGTGGGGACCCACACGTGGTCCCCTTCCTGGGTGGTGCTCTGCGAAGAATGAGGAAGATGCGGTCTTTTCGGGGCTTTAAGAATCCCATGGCGTTCGAAGGGGACAAAATATGCCCTACGGGGAGGATGCTCGAGGAAGACTCGAGCCAGAGTGTCCTTTGGTCGGGGACGCTACTCGTCGCGGGTAACAGCGGGCGTCGCCGCTATGGTCTACGGTCGGGCACGCTCGGGACGATCTGATCGTGAGCACTCCTCGAGGAACTTCCTGGATCTGGGCCTTTATCTGTACTTTGGGCCAAGACGGACCCAGTCCAGAATAGGAGCCCCCCAAGTCGTTGCTCCTGGCGCAGGAGTTATGACTTGATCTCAGCTTGCTTTTTCCGCGGGGACCTGATGCCCGACCCAGGGCTTTGC